TATGCTTCCTTACAGACATACACACATTCATGAATACATAAAACAGTGTACATAAATGCAAACTTGCATGCAAAATATCATTGCATTACATTTATATTACATTACATTTACATAACATTAACATTTTAATGACGTTTACATATACATAAGATATACATTACATTACATTTCATTACATATACCTATACATTACATAACATTACATAACATTACATTTACGTTACATTACATTACGTATACATTACGTATACATTACATTACATATTTCTTTAACAATTGATCAACAATGCATTAACGTAACATTAAAGTACATTATAATACAGTACAGTTCATAACAATGCATTATATTTCATTAACAACATGCGTACATATACATATACATACACAAGCTAAAATGCTTCTTTACAGACATACTACAATTCATGCATACATAGAAAGGGATATGCAAACTGAATTAATGTATATTTGCATGCAAAAACACTTTATATAACATTACATAAAATTTGCAAAGCATTTACCTTACTAACATGTACATTAAATTACATATACATTACATATACATTGCATTACATTACATATACATTGCATTACATTACATTTTACATTGCATTACATTACATTACATATGCATTGCATTACATTACATAACATAACATATACATTGCATTACATTACATACACATAGCATTACATTACATATACATTGCATTACATTACTTATACATTGCATAACATTACATATACATTGCATTACATTAAATTTTATTATATATACATTACATATACATGACATTACTTTACATAAACATAACATAACATTACATTACATACTTATACATTTATATAACATTTACATTACATAACAATACAGTACATTAGACTACAAAACATGACATAACATTGACATTTCATTATTTTACGAATAGACAACATGCATGGATATACTGATACTAGCATATATGCTGTTATCTGCTCGTTAGTCGGGTTGTTTTCGAAGGTCGGTGGTTTTGTCCGGGCACTCCGGCTTCCTCCACTGATATACTTGGCTTCCACAAAATAGCTCAAAATATTGGCTTTTAAAAGTCGCGTTAAAACACAAATAATCAATCAATCAATCAATTATAACATTAAATATATATAACATAAAATTTACATTACAATTACATTACAATTACATTACATTAGACTGCAAACATGACATGACATAATATTTGTATTACATTACATTATGTCACGTATAAACAACATGCATGCATAAATGTTTCCATACAGCTATACAACAATTCATGCATAGTAACAAAGTGTTAGGGAACTTGCATACTGCATATATATTTACATAATTGCATGTACACGTGCACACATGCAAATAAAGACAATTCAATCACAATAAACAGATAATATACCTAAATACATTCATGCATACGTCTTTTTATACAAACAAATTTATAATCAACTGACTTCATCGTTTTAGGAAAAATAACGGGATGTTAAACACAATAGTACACTTTCAACTAAATACTGTATTCATAGAAAAAAAAAACTTTCGGAAAATCTTGGTATGTTTCACATTAGAATCATTTTCGAAAAATTGGAAGTATTTGCTAAAAGTAAGTGCATATAGCCAAACTTAAACTTATGTAGAAATCAACTGAAAAAAATTCTTTGACAAATTTTGAATTGTTCTCAAAATAAAAATTGCTCGTAAAGATTTGGTCTTGGTTCACAAAAAAATAATCCGGAAAATTTAGAATTTTATTTAAAAAACAATTCGCAAAATGCATGATTTTTTAAAATAAAATGCACTTAAATTTATATCATTTTCCTTAAATAAATGTAGCTTTTTTCACATTTAACATTCTCATGTAATATTTTCAGTTTATTTTCTAAAAAAATATATCTTTAAAAGAGTACACATAGCTGTCTGTGACATTCTTTTAATTTTCCTAAAACTTTTCAAAAATTTGATATTTTTTAATTTTAAAATGTTCACTAACATTCGATATTGACCCTAATTTACAATGTATGCTCTGAAACGAATCTTTTCTTAACTTTTGACGGAAAAATAATTATTCGCAACTTTTAAATTTTTCCACAAATTTATGTTATTTGTCAAAGGTTGAGATTTTTTATAATGTTGACCTAAGGAATTAGACTATTTACCCGGTTTGTAATAACATGAGCAACACGACAAATAATGACCGTTTACCGTCGCAAAAACAATAGCAAAAATTCAGATTATTTTATATAACGCTTACATAAATAATTAACAATAATATCTTGATTCGCTCGCAATTTGAGTTTTTAAATTCCATTATATTTTCGCAAAATTACAGGATTTTTTTACCAAATTTGTTTTTTCGCAAAAAAATATTTCAGTGCCATCAATTTATTTCCAAATAAATGTTTTTTGTTTGTTTATTCTTTTAAAAATTGCGTTAAATATTATTTGTCCAACAAGTTAGTGAACATTGTTTATATATGTAAATATTTTTGTGACACCTGTATTTATACATATATTCTTACATATTTCCATCCACACATAAATGTGATCATCCTATACATCAATTCATAAATATATATTTATAGTAATAGATAACTGCATACATGCATGCATCAAATTAAAATTACCTAGTAACGTACATTCATAAATACATAAAGACATACTTGCATGCAAAAATACAATACATTACATTCCTTAACATTTCATTTACATTGCATTACATTACATAACATTTACATGTACACTACGTTGCATTTACTTTTACATTACAGTAACAACTAATTACATTACATAAAATAAAATTTACAATACAACTTCGTTACATTACTTTTTTTTATACATTAACAATACATTAGAGTACATGATATTCTATAACTTTGAAATTTACATCTCATTAATATTGTATTGCATTACATAACATTACATTACATTAACATAACACAACATTACATTTACATAACATTACATTTACATAACATTACATTACCATAACATTACATTACATTTACATTAAATGACATTACATTTACATTAAATGACATTGTGACAGAAAATCACATTACATAACAAAACGTTCCACAACATGACATAACATTAAAATTAACATTAGATTAAATTGCATTGCATTACATGACTTTACATTGCACTGCATTACATGACATTACATTGCATTTACATTAAATAACATTTGATGACATAAATTTACATTACATTACAAAACTTGACATAACATAACATTAACATTTACATTACATTATGTCACGTATGAACAACATGCATGCATATAGATATACAAACATAAACGCTTCCATACAGACAAACGTCAATTCATGAATACATACAAACGTGTATGCGAACTTGCATACTGTATATACATTTAAACGACTGCATCCATACGTACATATAAGAAAATAAAGATAGTTTAATAATAGTAAACAGATAACACACAGATACATTTTATACATACGTCTTTTTATACAAACAAATCTACCTATTGTATTCATTGTTAATTTGTTCTCGTCCTGAATATGCATGAAATATTTGCCACTGGACGTTAAGCAACCAACAATCAATCAATATCATCAATATAATATAAGTCCTGTTAATTTGGTGGGACATTGAACATCATAGGCGGATCCAGGGAGGGGGCCTTACCCCCCTTCCCCCCTTTTTTTGTGTGAAAAATTTGGTTGATTATATAGGGAATCACTGAAGCATGACTGGAGCCCCCCCCCCCCCCCCCCTCCTTAGGTCAGTCAGTGGGCCCCCCCTTATAAAAAGTTCTGGATCCGCCACTGAACATGAGGAAATAGCCTAAGTTCAGTGTCCATATGAATTGATGTCAATGATTGGTTGAGCTTTTGATTTTGCCATAAATTGCTTAATTACGGGACTTCCGAATTAGAATTTTCATCGGAGTTCTAAATTTTGGTTATTTTACCATTTTTTATACAAACTAATACCTGAAATTAATCCAAGCAAGAGAGTGGTGCCTGATTTTGTCCTCATGTGTTGTAGAAGGTTCAGTATCAAACTAGACTGTGCCCAAATACTGTACGATCCTTGACTGATGATATAGTGGAAGGGGTTGAAACCATCTGAACAGTAGGAAAGAGCTATGGCATTCTTCTCCCTCTGCTTGCTGAATGTATCCCAACTTGACGACTCGTGTAGGTCTGCTACAAAGCGTGACTTTTCTGGAATGCATTCCATCAGAGCTGTTAGTCTGGCCATGGATTTCACCTCCCTAAGCTGCTGAAGTCTTGGACCAACTGGTATTGTGTAATATCTAACAAACAAACAGAATTAAAATAACATTTTGCACATATAACTTGTGTCGTGTCATTTTTTCCACATTTGAACAATGTATCTACTTTAATTTTTATACAACTTTAAACATTTAATTTAATACCACTTGTCATGTGGCCGTTAATGATGAGCAATTCTTTAAAGAAAATATAATGATATTTTATTTTCGAACCTGGTTTTATCATTAAGGAAATCAGAAAAGAAATTTACTATTAGTGTTCAAACTGAAAGTTGCTAAAAATTCTTCAAATAGAACAATACAATCATTCCAAATTCCCAGGAAAATAAACGCTGAAACACGTATAAATAACAAACATTCTTTCTCAGATCCCGAAAAAATAAGGTCCAATTTGCAACGTCCATTAAATGGTCTCTGCTTTCCCCATGCAATTATTTTAAAACATAATGGTTTTCTACAGCAAATTAAAGGTAAAATAAATTGAAGGTACCCAACAAAAAATTAGCAGAAATATTTACGACTTGCTTTGTTCCCACTGATCTATCTCGGTTACAAATTTCACGTTTGGCGGTCTGTGAATCTATCGTGATGAAAAAATGTAAGCACCTTTATTGCAGCATTAACCATATAATTCTCTCTCTCTCTCTCTGATATTTATATACCTACATTTCAGTGATGGTCTTTAGTATGATGTTCTCTTTAGGTGCTACTTCCTGAAACAGCATTAGCAGTTCATTCACATCTTCCACACTGATGGAATACTTGCACTTCAACTGTAATTTAAAAGACACTAATGAGCCAAATTCATTATAAATTTTTATCTGAAATGTGTTTTTTTTTTAAACATATTCAAGTTGTGAAGCTACTTAATACATGAAATCAACATCTTAAATTTGAAAGTATGTGTGATTATGATCAAAGATCCTAAAGATAAGTGCATGTACATGTACCTGTGTGATTCTTGTTGCTAAAAACACAGTTGTTGCTGATGAGTGCTGTTAGGTTATATCATTTAAGTTGTCATACACATTTACATGACTCTTAAATGCAATTAGTAAAAAAAAATAACCTAATATATATGTCAGAATTAGAAATCAGAGAAACGGGTCACAGAACATATATACATAATGAGTATCTCCCAAAATATAAGTTAATCAATGCATTAATTCACCACATAAATAAATAAATGTCTGCCAGGTGTTGATTCAGAATTTTGAAAAAAAGGTGTCTCTGGGCAGGCCAACAAATGGAATCAAGCTCTGTATGCTTACTTTCAAAATCACAGCCATGAATGTGATCTGTGTAATGTCTGTGGCATTGTGCAGTGGTCTTCTACGTGAGTCATCTTTGTTATGAACCCCCAAGGGTGACAGGGGAATAGAAGTATGGTCACCATTGGTCTTCCTCCGACCGGCAGTAAAACCCTTGCTAAAATGGGGCGTCCGTTTGGCTGTGCGGGATGTACAAATTTGCAGCCACGTCCGGTCAGAATGGGGACGTTAAATCCGATGCCTCGTGTAAAGAGAGTGCCACGCTCTTTGCACGTTAAGAACCCTTGCAACAAATCTTTGAGGGGTCCGTAGGTGACCTTTTGCATGGCTAAATTTCTGTCCCTATCCAATATTCCCTCATTTCCCGTGGCAGTCTAAATTTCTCCGACCTTAATCCCGGACGCCCCTATTACAGATCCTACCTATTGTATTTATTGTTAATTTGTTCTCGTCCCGAATTTGCATGAAATATTTGCCACTGGACGTTAAGCAACCAACAACCAATCAATCAATCTTTGTTATGAATTAGGTGTCCAAAGGGTGTTATTGGGTGGTCCTAAAAAAGAATACTTCTTTAGAATTTTCATTATAGGATCTCATATTGCATATCAATGCATATAATGGTTACAATTAACCCAGATGATCTATTTTTGGAAAAGCATAGCACTAATCACTAAATCTGTGTACGAACTGGGAATATTATACTGACCGGTTATATAATATTGTTACTGGGGAACCACTGTTAGTAGATCTATATAATAGTCAAGGTATGAAGGAGGTGTGGATGGGGTTTTCAGAATGGAAAATAATAATTAAATGAAATACGAAATAGAGAACAAGTAATGGTCAATAAAAATATAGAATAGAGAATAATTAGGTGCTAATTTAAAATACAAAGAATAATTGCAAAAATTTCAGTCTAAATTTCTCCGACCTTAATCCCGGACGCCCCTATTACAGATCCTACCTATTGTATTTATTGTTAATTTGTTCTCGTCCTGAATTTGCATGAAATATTTGCCACTGGACGTTAAGCAACCAACAATCAATCAATCATAACTTGGACTGTTACCAGTATAAACACATACTATTTCGGTGTAAGATGAATTCTGAAGTAGGCAATAAGTAAAGGTAGGGGAAGTACATAATTTTAGTACAAGTTTAAACTCTTAACAAGTTCAGGGCGTATAAATGTTGAAAATATACCATCCAATATACCCTCATTTCCCGTTGCAGTCTAAATTTCTCCGACCTTAATCCCCGGACGCCTCTATTACAGAACCTACCTATTGTATTTATTGTCAATTTGTTCTCGTCCTAAATATGCATGCAATATTTGCCACTGGACGTCAGGCAAACCAACAATCAATCATCATTTGTTGAATTTGTTCTTTCATACCCATATACGTTAATTTAATCAGATATTGGTCTATAACACTTCTATCTTTGTTGTAACTTAATGCCCTATGTATCTATTCAGTGACAGATTCATGTTCCAATTGCCGGAGATTTGTTAAACCTACATCGTCTTCTTCTTATAGCCCCCAAGGGTGACTGGGGAATAGAAATATGGTCACCATTGGTCTTCCTCTGACCGGCGGTAAAACCCTCGCTGGGGTCGGGCGTCCGTTTGGCTGTGCGGGATGTACAAATTTCCAGCCACGTCCGGTAAGAATGGGTACGTTAAATCCGATGCCTCGTGTAAAGAAAGTGCCACGCTTTTTGCACGTTAAGAACCCTTGCAACAACTCTATGAGGGGTCCGTAGGTGGCCTGTTGCAAGGCTAAATTTCTGTCCTTATCCAATATCTCATTTTCCCGTGGCAGTCCAAATTTCCCCGACCTTCTTCCAGGACGGCCTCTATTACAGGACCTACCTACTGTATTTTTTGTTAACTTGTTCTCGTCCTGAACATGCATGATATATTTGCCACTGGACGTTAAGCAAACAACCAACAACAATCTTATGCTGTAAATTGGTTTAAAAAAGCAGTTTTGATATGACCTAATGATTGATTAACTGAAGTGTCTAACATGTGCCACCACTGATTTGCAATACCATCTAAGTAGAATGGTAAGCACAATATTGCTTCCCATTATTCTTATCTCTGAAGGGTTATAAAAGAAATAAATGTGGTCCACCACTGTGCAGCATCCATGTTTCCATTAAAATGAGTCATATTGACATGTACCTACCTTGGTTATTTGATTGGTGCTGAACTGAAGGTTGAGTTGGTGCAGCAGCCTGAATTTGTGGTGGTATGGTAACAGCTGGTTGTAGTGCCTGAATGTGCTGAGCTGGAGCTTGTTGTTGCTCTGGTATCTGTTGAACTGGTAGCTGTGGAGCTGGTTGGGGCTCAATTATTTGCTGATTAGGTTGTGCTGGAGCTTGGTTCTCATGGGTGGGTGGCAAATGGACCTGTACCATTTCCTCAGGTAAAATCTGTATCAGGGGTGCCTCTCCATTGTTGGCATTCATTGGTTGTGGCATGTTTGCAGATCTCAGCCAATAACTCATAAATTACCGGGATGTTTGGGTCGTCCACCAGTTGACACAACTAACTTTTCTATGTGTTTGTTGGGTGGGTAGAGCATGCAGGGTGATGAGTTATGTGGGGAGCTAACTTTCAGGTGCTGCGTGCTTCTTACAGAGAGCTGACACAATTGTCTTTGGCAGGCCTGAAAATAGTCAAAACCAAGGATTCAATAAAAAAAAGAGTCTTTATTGCTTGATAGCGTATGGCAGGGTCTATAATATATAATACATCAAAACATAATAATAGGCAGCAAACTAACAATATCATGAGTCACACAAAAGTTCGTAAACTAAGCCTTATATGGCTTAGTAGAATAAAACCAAATAAAATATAAATTTTCTAGGTAATTCATTCTTACTGATGTTTATTACTGAAGATCGAACATGCTTTTTAATGCGCCTTAACCAAACCGACATAAATTTTCAATTGTCTTTTTTCTACAAATCTTTAACATTAAATTTTTGTCAGCTTTATAAAATATTAAAATCAAATATAAACAATCCTCATTGTTTAAGATGACTCTCCATAGCACATGCCACAATGAAACATGAAATTAATCTCAAACAAGTTTATATACAAATAATTTAATTGAAACAAACACATGTAAACAAATGTGCATATCAAGGAGGGATAACTACTTAAGATATCTCTGGGGACCTAGCTCACATACTAAAATTAAACATTTTTGGACTACTAAGCTTAATTTACTCTTAAAGTAATATATTTAGATGCACTTAAACTACAGGCAACAGTCTAAACTATTGGGATACTTATTAAACAAATTCTCAAAATACAGAGATCACAAGGCTGGAATGGGAAATTCAGGAGAACTAGCGTTTCTTTGCTTACACAAGCTTTGTAACTTAGCGACGATGGCAAAATAACATTAATGAATGAATAATAAATGTATTACACTAACAATGACTTATTTTTTTTTCTAAACTTGCTAAAGTGGGGCGTCTGTTTGGCTGTGCGGGATGTACAAATTTGCAGCCACGTCCGGTCAGAATGGGGACGTTAAATCCGATGCCTCGTGTTAAGAGAGTGCCACGCTCTATGCACGCTAAGAACCCTTGCAACAACTCGTTGAGGGGTCCGAAGGTGACATGTTGTAAGGCTAAATTTCTGTCCCTATCCAATATACCCTCATTTCCCGTGGCAGTCTAAATTTCTCCGACCTTAATCCCGGACGCCCCTTTTACAGAACCTACCTATTGTATTCATTGTTACTTTGTTCTCGTCCTGAATATGCATGAAATATTTACCACTAGACGTTAAGCAACCAAAAATCAATCAATCAATGTAAACTGGTGAAAATACACAATATTATTGGTCCCACATTTTTGTCGAAGAAAACCCTGAGTTATCTCCCATATAAATAAATCTATGGCAGCCCGCAATACTTAAACTTAACTGTACATTCAAGATCTGTATACAGTAAGATAATAAAACAAAAAGTAGTAAACTAAAATTATTACAAACTAAACTGTAACTTCAAGACAAATTTATTTATTCAATTTATGTTTCCGTTTAACATGTTTAAGGACTTTTTGCCAAAAGTACTTTATTTGACTTTTAGAATATCAAGAAATGCTGTGACTTTACATTTCGGACGGTTTCTTAAATAATTTAAATTACCAACCCAATATTAAATACAATCAATTAAGCTTTCAAAATTAAATAAATCGTATCATTAGTTTTTAATTCATTATAGAAAACAAACAACTACTGAACATCAGATTCCTGACTTAGGACAGGTGCAAACAAATGCAGCGGGTCTGTTTGTTTTGTTCACACATCGTTGTCAATATAATGGAATTTTATGCGAATGCCATACAAGTGAGAGGTTTAGCTAGCTATAAAACCAGGTTTAATACAACATTTTCTCATTTTCTACTTAAGAAAATGCCTGTATCTAGTCAGGAATATGACAGTTGTTGTCCATTCGTTTGATGTTTTTGAGCTTTTGATTTTGCCGTTTGATTTTGGACTTTCCGTTTTGAATTTTCCTCGGAGTATAGTTTTTTGTGATTTTACTTTTTGATGACGGGCGGTTTTTTTTTTTTTGTGGAAAAATTCAAATATCCTTTTCCATCGTTCTGATCCTGTGATTATGCTAATCATCTAGACACTCCAACAGTTGATGTAGCCACACTAGCTTATCCAAATTGGCCCACAATAGGAGAAACATTCCTCGACTAGTACTTAAGTGCACTAGCAAGTGAAACATAATGCCAAGTCCTGGTCTGCAACATAATACCAAGTCCTGGTCTAGCTTGTTCGTCATGTCTAATGATGACAACATTTTCCCAATGATTTTTTTGGTACTACTGTCCCTGTTACACCATTCACAAGGACTGTGCATAACACACAAATCATCCTCCAACTCTTTATGGTATTTAAGTTTGAAGTCCAATTTAAAAATGTAAGTAAAGTAACTATTATCATTAAGCGTGAAAACCTCTGAAGAGAAGGTTTAATATTGTTAATAAAGGCAACAGTAGTATACCGGTGTTCAAAAGTCATAACCCCCAAAGGTGACTGGGGAATAGAAATATGGTCACCATTGGTCTTCCTCCGACCGGCGGTAAAACCCTTGCTAAAGTGGGGCGTCATTTTGGCTGTGCGGGATGTACAAATTCGCAGTCACGTCCGGTCAGAATGGGGACGTTAAATCCGATGCCTCGTGAAAAGAAAGTGCTACGTTCTTTGCACGTTGAGAACCCTTGCAACAACTCTTTGAGGGGTCCGTAGGTGGCCTGTTGCAACGCTAAATTTCTGTCCTATCCAATATACCCTCATTTTTCCGTGGCAGTCCAATTTTCCCAGACCTTCATCCCGGACGGCCTCTATTACAGGACCTACCTATTGTATTTATTGTTAACTTGTTCTCGTCCTGAACATGCATGAAATATTTGCCACTGGACGTTAAGCAACCAACAATCAATCAATCAATCAATAAATCAATCAAAAGTCATAAATCGATTTAGAGAAAACAAATCCGGGTTACAAACCAAAACCGAGGGAAACACATCAACTGTAAGAGGAAAACAAAGGAACAACAGGAACACCGAAGTGCAACAAAAACAAACGCCAACACACATAAAAACGAACTATTTGATAGCAACTACCATATTCCTGACTTGGTACAGGACATTTTAAGAAAAAATGGTGGGTTGAACCTGGTTTCATGGCATGCCAAACCTACCGCTTTATGACAATGTTAAAAAATATCGCTAAAACACTACACGATAAATTTGTTTCAACAGATTTTTGCTATAAAAAAAACAGGTTCCACAATTATAACATTATCATTCATATTTTCTATTTTTTTCTATTTTTTTATAAATGTTACATATATATTTATATGTAAAGATTGCAAGCATATTTTTTATTAATGCTATCTCATGATGACATATATTTATAAAAGCAATCTGATTTTTAAACTAATAAATATCTTATCTTCTTGATGAATCCATTTTTTTTTCCAGTATAACCTCACCCACAACTGTTTCCACTTGTTCATAAATTTTCACCAAAATTTATGTTACCCCCTTTTTTCCAGAAAATTAAATATTTCTAGTTCATTGATTTTTTATCTGTCTGGTTTTATGACGCTCAATGATTGTGTTTTTTTTACCTGAAACATGGCATTTAAATCGAGTCTTTGTCTTCGTTTGATCTTTAGCGTCTTTGACAGAACTGTCGTCTGCATTATGACGTCACGTATAAACAGGGTTGCGTATACAATTCAAAGAGCAGCGATTTCGTTGATTACCAAAAAGTGTTTCATCGATATTGATAGTTGTCAATGAAGCCGCTGACATGTCTCGCAATCGGATGTCAAAATTTAAGGCACCGGGTAGCTTTAAATGTGACTGTTGTGGTTACGAGATAAAGAAATGTGCAAATTATCACCGGCATTTGGAATCTGATCGGCACCAGCGTGTTCTGAATTTTTCAAACCAAGTCAACTTTGAAGTGTGAGAAGATAACGAGAATGATTTTTTCACGGATAGCGCTACTGACATGATCGTAGATGGTGCGACCTCGGACTACCAATCCAGTTACGGTCAAGATCAGTACGATGAAGATTTTGAAGAAGAAGGTGTAGATATAGATGACGAGGATGAACAAGAGTACAACGAGGAACGAAGCTCCGACACCAAGACAGAGACAGAATGGTTCCCATTCGATTCATTGGTTGATTGATTGTTGGTTGCTTAACGTCCAGTGGCAAATCCCATTCGATTCATTGGTTGATTGATTGTTGGTTTCTTAACGTCCAGTGGCAAATCCCATTCGATTCAAAAACCCACTTTCTCCTCACTTCATTATACAGTTCTAAAACCCACCGAGTTGTAAGTTTACGTTCTGATTGCATATGTTATTCTAGTCAAAATCATTATGACGTCTAGAAAGGCTATTTTTGATTTTTGCTGCTACCCCTTCCAGTTGAAGAAAGGCATTCAAAAATAAATACGAAAAAGCCGTACAAAACGTAATATTATTTACAGTGTTTTCCCAGGGTCTTTAAGCGTCATGATAATCATTTGTATAAAATGTGATGCTATGTAAATCCCTGATTTAAACATCTCCCTCAAAGATGGAGTACACTGTTTTATTGTCAATTAAAGCAGCCCATATAAAAAGCATATTAATCACAATAAAACATGATAAATATAAATATATACAAACGATTGGACTAAAAGCAATTTACCAACTGCCCCCGCTATTAGGACTGGGTTTTAAACATGTATCAAGTCAAGTCAGATTTTTTTTTACCACGCAAACAAAGCAAAAATATTTTCTTCAGCAAACCCCAAGCGTGATTTTTTTTATTAAAATTTATAAAGATAAAGGAATATATCTATTAACTTTTATTTTTACAGTATTATTAAAATATATTAAAATATAAAACATGAGGGTTTTTCTGCCCCCCCCCCCCCCCCCC